CTCTTGTTTGTTTATCGCTCACTTTGCGCCAGAAAGAGGAAACCAGCGGATGTCGCGCTAAACAACAGCAGCACGTTTAAGCTTGATCAGCTGTTGTTAGAATTTACTTAATATTAATTTCTAGTATCAGCTGAATTGAAGGGAAGTTATGAACTGTTTCTGAGAGACATATAACACCAGGATCCTTTTCTAAGTATCTGACAGCTGGTAACTGTGCAGGGGCGGGTCTAGCAAAGCTTTGGCACGGGGGCAGGTAGGGCATTAACAGGGAGAGGGGGGCACAAAGACATACTTTCTTATTCTCATTTAAAATGTTTCGCTTTTAATAAATAATTATCTGAATCTTACAACCAAAGTTTTTAGTATGATGTAAAATGTATAGGAATCATGCATATACCAACAAGACTGTACATCACTGTCACAACAGTGTTTTCATTCAAAGGCTTTATGGTTTTTCCTATAATACCTGTTGGGCCGGTCCGATTTTTTTGTCCCAGTCCAGCCCTGCTTCCTGCACCCAGCAGCTTTCCCGTGACATACGTGACGGTGAGCGTGTGCCGCGTGTGTCGACGCGTCAAAGTGCGCTGTGGTTATTTTCAGGAAGCTAATAATAATTACAGTTACAGAAGAGACGAGCTGCTTTCTGCTTTTGTCCCCTGTGAGAGTCGCCTGATATTAGCGGCTAACCAGTAACAAGCTGGAGAGAAACCACACACCTGCACAGGACGCTCTGAATACCCAGCATCACACCTGGATTTGGGCAGCTGCAGGGCTCTGGTGAAAGTGTTCATGAATATATGAGGGTTTCACGAATAACCCTTTAATTAAATGTAGTTACTAACTAAAGCTGAGCAAGTCCTTATTCAGAGCAAACTGTTTTTACAGCCTAAACTGAACAACGTGGTTTAGCAACATAAAGCCATGGACGTGAACTCCTCATGAACCGCTGTATCTGCTCAGACCTGCTGCAGTGCTTTGCATGATTGACGATTCCTTCTAATACTGTGCCTTTGTTTGTTCGGATTGGCTGGCCCTCGCAAATTCATTCATCACAGTCAAAGTCATTCTTTTCTGATTTGATGTTATTTGTGATCAGTAGAGGTTTTTGATACAGGCAACACAGGCGGTTGCCCGGGGCGGCATCACGGGCATCTGCGGAAAAAAAAAAAAATTGCTCGTACTCATGCTGCTGCAACGTCATGCCAGCGCATATTGGGGATGGCATAGGCACTGATCGGTTTTCTGATGGGGCGCCAAACAGGCTCGGACCGCCACTGTTTGTGATGCATGTTTGAGATGTTTGGCACGTTGGATCTAAAACTGCTGCTCGTTGGTTTGATCTGAATCTTTCCTTCTGCTGTTTTTCAGGAATCGACTACAAGACGACCACCATCCTCCTGGACGGGAGAAGAGTGAAGCTGCAGCTCTGGTACGAACACGCCGTCGTTCACACGGCTGCCTACGTCTCATGTTATCAGTCTGTGTGGAAAGAAAGCAGAGGACAACCAAAATATACAGGAGGCATGTGAGGCCCGTTTACCCAATAAAAAGCTTTTTCAGGTACTGAGCTTCATCCAGCTTCAGCCTGACGGGTGTTAAAGGCTCGCTTCACTCAGTGAAAATATTCCTTCAGTTTTAGTTTGACGTTTCAGTTTTATGTCCAAAGAAACTGAGAGGAATGCAGCTGACAGGACAGCCTGAGCGGTGTGTGGTGGATAAAAGTGGAAAGAAAATAACTTATGATGATTAAAAGCCTTAATGTGACACTGACAGCAGGTCTGATTCAAAACCTCTTTTGATGCTGCAGCTGACAGGATGTCGTCATCAGAGGGCGAACACCGTAAAAGCTTAACCACACAAGATGCGTGTGACCCGCCCTGCTGGACACGTCACACAAACTAACCTGGAAGTGACCAGGACTTTTATTTTGAAGGACCAGTCCAGGATGATGATGCCATCATAAGAGCATCTGCAGCACTGATGCTTTTACTTTGGCATAAAATATGTCATTGGATGAAATCAGTGGAGCTGTACTCGAGTAAATCTACTCAGTTTGTTTCTGTGATGACGGTTTGCTGCTCTGCACAAACTTACTCGTGTTTGTAGAAACGTGTTTCAGCCAAGGCGCCGTCACATGTTCAGTCTGCCGCTTTGATGTTTAAGAGGACGCGACGCTGTGTGTGTGTGTGTGTGTGTGATGATTCTGTCTGGATCTGCCGCTCTGACTTTGATAACTGGCGGCCATCTTTTCCCCGCCCGCGTGCTCATGAGCCAAGCAAACCCCTGCTGTGGTGCGCAGACACACTCGCGTTTCTTACTGTGGACAGGAACAACAATATGGGCAGAAATCTGTGCCATCAGAAACTGAATTTGAATAAGTTCAATTTGAATTTGAAT